ATACGAGCACAGGTAGGTGAGTGTTTGCCTGTACACATGGCTTGAGAGCTGGGATTTTCCAGTAGGAACTGACCACTCGTGTGTCGACCACATGACATGAATTTCATCAGGTATTGAGGGACTGGACGATAGTATGAGGAGTGCTATTGATAACGCTTGGAGTACGTGTGCCCTACCAGTGCCCTACCAGTGCCCTACCAGTGCCCAAAATGGGTATAAATAGGAGCGTTCACTCTCATAGTCTCATCACTCGACTGCCAAATATTGTTCACTAAGTTTGCACTCAAGGCTTAAGAGCTGTTTAATGTGCTATTGATTTGCGATTTGAAAGCTGTTGGAAAAAAGTTGCATCAAGGCAAAAAAGTTTTGTCTCATTAATCACTTAATAATTAGCGTGTAATCCGTGGCCAGAGAATTGATTTTTGATATAATTATCGCGAAACCCAAACCAAACATGAATTTCTGCAAAGTTTTGTTGATTTGTTGGGCGATTGTGACCATCGGGTCGGTGCTGGTGGTGGTGGAGGTGGAGGGCCAGTGGGGCTCCCATTTCGGGTCCAAAAAACGTATGCCTCACTGGGCGGCGGCTTATGGATTCAATCGGCCCATACCTCACAAGTGGAGCTGGTTTAACCATCACTCGAGACTGGCATCCCGGACCGCCCGTTAGGCTACTGGTGCCCGATATCATCTGTATAGATAATTTATCTTATATATAATTCAATAGTATTTTTATATTTGAGCAAAATATATGTAGAATTACTGTATTATGTGAATTAGTTCATTGGTCATTTTATTTATTAGCTGTATATTTTTTTATAACAAAATGTATTTTTGTATACATGATTTTTTGTATAATTTGTGTCTAGGTTAAAACAGTATTACTGTATGTTAATATAATTGTATAAACATTGTTTGATGAATTAAATTAATTTAATTAAAACATTTTTGTTATATTATTTGTAAATTGTATTATGGCTAAAATTATTGTAATGATTACAGTATAATAATCCAGTAATTAAAGTCTAAATGAAAATTATTAAATAAATGTGTTATTATTTCATGATAAATTAAAAGCAAATATTTTAATAGAAGTAAAAACTTTATTATCAAATAAAATATTCAATGATCAAAAAACATGTAATTCAAAAATGGTTAACTGTATTTCAAAATGTGTGTGTATGTCTGTAACTATACTCGGGAAAATTTGTTTGAAACAAATTTACATTTAATTAGTCGCTTATAGTTGTGTAAATTGTTTACAAAAATCACATTAAACTACGAAAATCAATGCGAGTGTAATATAACGGGTAATCTTCATGAAAATCAAGTTTTTCATTATATACTGTATTTCATTAAATGACTTGAAAACAGAAATCAAAGGACGGATAAAAATATGTTTTTTATACACATTATATTTTTTCGATAACAATATTTTTGTTGTTTGTATATAAAAACAATTTATTGGATTAAATGATTACTTAAAGCGAATTAAGTCAATGAAAATTAAAACAACAAAATAATTATTAAACCAAAAAGTTTCTGTGGATTGTTTTCATCGATAAAATATCCGTTAAAATGCATTTCATTTGCTTAATGTTTATGAACTCATTCGCAATGATAAGTAAAAACTTTGCCATAAATGCGATGAAAAAACCGTTTTGTCTCTCGTTTTAAATGTGATATTAATTTTCATTACATTATATGAGTTAAACGATTGCGAAAAATAAGGATAAAAACTCTAACAAAAAAACTATTCCTTGATTACAAGAATCGCAAGAATATTCTTGCGTTCATTCACTCGATACTATTCATGCGATCCATAGCCGGCTTGTCGTCTTCGAGCGGTTCCCTGACATCGTCCTCGAGATCGTATCGGTTATCGTCGTATAGGTGGTCGTCCACCATCTCGACCGGTATGTCCTCGTCCTTCACGTCCACCATCTCTTCATCGTCTTCGTCGTCGATCTTCACCGGCATGTCGTCGGCCGTGAAATGCGAGCCCTCTATCGACTCCTGTCTATCCAACGATTTCTCATCGACTTTAGGCTTACTTTCCGTCTTTTTCTCGTCTTTTTTCTTCTCTTCCTTCTCTTCCTTCACTTCTTTATCTACTTTTGTCTCCTAATTATTGGCGGAAAGCAGAAAAAAACATGTAATTTATTGCTATTTAATGTGCATTCAGTTAACGGAGACCTCTTTGGGAGTCGATATGAATGCCGGCATCTCTTTGTAGTCATCGAAACCGGACTCCGACTTATCGTTGGTCTCCCTATCGGTGAATCGGGTGATGGATTCCGGGGGAGTGAGGAATACGACGGGGGGTTCTTCGTCGCTATCACTGAACGCTTCCTCCGGTTCGTACACTATTAGGGATAACCGGGAAAACTCTTCGGGACTCAGCTTTTGATCGCCTGTTTGTTTGGATAGATATATAAAATTAATTAATTATGAGTAGCATTAAGAAATAAAATCATTTTTATTAATTAGCTAGTGAAAGTTACAATGTATAATTTAGAGTATTTTTATTTGAATATTGTACTTTTAATCTCACCAGTACCCTTTAAAATTTTTGCATTTTGTTCAATTTCATAGAATTACAAGTATATTACTTTATATCTTATATTAAAACTTTATATTAAGAGAAATATTAAAGTGAATACATAAATATTTATTCAGAAAATATTATTGTTATGCAATCGTAAGTGTTATTAATATCTCAAGTGATCATTGAGTTGACAAATATTTTCTTTGATAAATAAAAGCCGTAATAATTTTTGTTAATGTTCATTTTTAATGATACTTCAATCCAGAGTTTTTTCCGTTAATTCCCAAATAATTAGGAATTCCTGTTATAATACTTTTAATAAAGGGCGAGGATTTTAGGGTACAGTAGTGTGAATGCAAAATAATCAATGAATGGCTACTACTGTGCTGTCTGTGCGCTATAAACACATATAAATAGAGTGGGATTTATGAGGAATAGTAGGGCAGAGCATCTCATTGGCAATAATCGGATTGTCGTCTAAACGCAGTCCAGTAGTGATCACTAGTAGTGTAAAGGATTGAGTTTTGCTAATCATTTGGACACGAATTTAGTGGAGAGAGAGAGAGAGAGAGAGAGAGAGATAGAGAGAGAGAGAGAGAGTTATACTGTAGTCTAGAATACTACAA